AGTTCCTAGTCTTAGTTCTGAGTTATTCTCAAAAAATTTCAAATATTTCGAAAAGAAAACAAAACTCAATTTGGCAGCTCTATTCAGATTTTACATTCTGATAATGCTAAAGAATATGTATCAGCTCCCTTTGATACATATCTTAGTAATAAATGTATAATCCATCAGACATCATGTGTTCACACTCCTTAACAAAATGGTGTTGTAGAGTGTAAAAATCGACATTTATTGGAAGTGACTCGTGCTCTCTTGTTTCAAAATGAATGTTCCTAAACGTTTTTGGAGTGACCTTCTTACTGCATGTCATCTAATTAATCGTATGTTGTCCTTTGTGTTGCATGGTAAATCTCTCCACTCTGTTTTATTTCCACCTAGAGTCTTTGAATGTGTTTGTTATGTTCACAATCTTGGTTCTGGTTTCGATAAACTTGATTTAGCCACAAAGTGTCTTTCTTAGTTATTCTCGCTCTCAAAAAGGGTATCGTTGCTATAGTCCAACTTATCAAAGATACTTTATTAGTGCTGATGTTACTTTTTGGGAGGCCACTCCGTATTTTGCCGAACCTTCTCCTCCTCTTGATATCACTTGTGAGCCGTTCGTACCTGATGTTCCTCTTCCTCTTCCGATTCCTCCTTTGTCTATATTGAAGATTTAATGGAGGAAAATCTTTTAGTAATTGATGTTGTTTCCTATTATTGAAGATTTGGTGTTAACAGAGGAATCAGTGGAGGAAAATCCTCCTTGTTTCCTATTTTCTAATTCTTTCCATTCTCATAAATTCTTCTCCTATATAAAGGAGCCTCCACCATTGTATTGTATATGAATTGAGAGAATATTATAAAAGTGTTGTAGCCCTTTGGGCTATATGTGCCGTGGATGTAGACCTTAGTGGCTGAACCACGTAATATCTGTGTGTTCTACTTGTTTTATTTATCTCTTCGCTTCCATTTTATGCTTTACAACATGGTATCAGAACATAATTTCTCTTCCTAGGTTCGGACCCCTATTTTGGGGTATTCCCTTAGCATCTGAAATGTTGTTAAGGGTTTTTCGGTGCTATTTGTGACTTGTTTGGGTTGCCCATTTGTTCGGTAGCATTGTCTTCGTCTTTGCTGTGTCTTCGGCAGTTTTTATCGACTTGTTTGGGCTGCCGGTGTGTTCGGTAGCATTGTCCTCGTTTTTGCTGTGTCTCCGGCAATATTTTGTTGACTTGTTTGGGCTGGCGGTGTATTCGGTAGCATTGTTCTTCGTCTTCTCTTTTCTCTCTTCATCATTCACATTTGTTATTACTCGTCATCTCAATGGCAAGTTAGGCATTCATGCTCCAACTTGAGAGGGAGTATTGAAGATTTAATGGAGGAATCAGTAGAGGAAAATCTTTCTTGTTTCCTAATTTTATAATTCTTTCCATTCTCATAATTTCTTCTCCTATATAAAAGAGCTTCCACCATTGTGTTGTATATGAATCGAGAGAGTATTATAAATTGATGTAGTCCTTTGGGCTATTTGTGCCGTTGATGTAGACGCTAGTGGCTAAACGACGTAATATCTGTGTGTTCTACTTATTTTATTTATCTCTTTGCTTCTGTTTTATGCTTTACAACAGTCTACAACCCCATTACAAGTTTACGAACGAAGATCGAAGACACCGCCATGCCTCAACCACCTTCTTCAGAGTCTTCGGATCCCACACCTACTGTGTCTGACTCTTTTCCTATTACACTCGTATAGCCGTATAGGTACTCGATCTTGTGGTACTTAGCATCTTATTTCCAATTATGTCTCCTATAATTCCTTATCGCCCTCTTTCTCGTGCTTTTCATCTCGATTGTCTTCTACGTTTGTTCCAAGGAATGTGCAGGCTGCTATATCTGATTCTGGTTGGAGGAAAGATATGAAAGAGGAAATGGATGCCTTACACCACAATAGATAATGGGATCGTGTTGCTTTGCCACCTGGTGTTAAACTTGTTGGTTGTCGGTGGGTATTTACAGTGAAATATCTTCCAGATGATTCTGTTGAGCGTTTAAAAAGCGCGTTTGGTTGCCAAAGGTTATACACATAATTATGGTGTTGACTATGATGAGATGTTTTCTGCTGTTGCTAAGATTTCATCTGTTCGTGCTTTGATTTCTCTTGCTAATCTTAAATTATTTCTCTTGCTTAGGTTTGTTGCTCATGGGGAGTATCGTCACAGTGTTTGTCGTTTAAAAAAGGCTTTGTATGGTTTGAAACAGTCATCAAGGGCGAGGTTTGGCAAATTCTCTGAGGCGGCATTAAAGTTTGGGCTTCGCCAATGCAGACAGATCATTCAGTGCTTCAGTGTACTGAGGCAGGTTTTATATTTCTTGTTGTATATGTGGATTACATTGTTATCACTAGAAATGATAGAGAGGGTATTGCCAAACTAAAACAGTTTTTGCAGCAATGTTTCCATACTAAAGATTTAGGCACACTTGGGGTATCACACTGGAGTGCTGTTCTTTGAATTCGATATCTAAAGCAAGCTCCAGGACTTGGGTGGTTGAATAAATCAAATGGACACCATAGAGTGGAAGGTTTTACAGATGCTAATGGTTTTTATATTGATCAAAGCAGCGTGATTTTTTTATTCATATTCGTGATTGCAAGGAAGGCAATCCAATCGCAATGAAGAAGATAGAGTGTTCTTCCATCAACCCAACTACAAGAATTGAGGAGTGAGCTTGAAATCCACAGCAATTGGACGAGGAGTCGCAAGAGTGAGTTTGAGATGTTCGACAACTAGTTTTTAGCAATAGAGTGGGTGTGAAACTGAGACCGAGTTTGTGTAACTTTACTTCAAGATAGTGGATTGTTTTCACCAGAGATGGCTAGTCTCTATGGTTTTTCCCTCGTCAAGGTTTCCACGTTAAAAAAATTGGTCCTTGCTTTATCTGTGACGCTCAGTGTTCTCCAACTCTAGTGCCTTCGTAATCACCATCAACACTGATCCACGTCAACGCCACCACATCATGATGACTGCTTCTCCTAATAACCGATTGCCTAATCTTCCACAAAACAATGTGAATATTTGAAGTTGATGTGATTGTACTTAGTAAAGCCCACGATACCGGCCATCAAAAGAAGAACAACACATTAAACACTAAACAATAACACGTGTGCTTAAATCAAAGAAACAAAACTTAAGAAAGATCTTAACTTGATATCACTCAAAAACTCACAAAATACTCGGCTTGAAAGATGATTATTTATAAATTAGAGAGTCCTTAAAACAACTGAAAAAGTTGTGTAAGAACATTAGAAGACTTCTCTTAGAGTTTGGAAAGGTATGGCAAGCTATGGGTGCATGATCCCACATCACCTGAGTAAAGTGAAGGTGAAGTGCTTATATGTTCTACTGCTGTCTGGAGGGTAAAACCCATGAACAAAACTATGCGGGCTTAGGCCCAAAACGGATAAATCATACCATGTGGTGGAGTGAGCTATTACAAATGGTAATAAAGCTAGAGCCCAACTGAAAGTGCGGCCAACAAATACGTTGGCCCCTAGAGTGGTGATTGTGGCGACTTTGTGAGCGGGTGCAAGGCACTGGCAAGCTACAGGTGCACGATCCCACATCACGTGGGTAAGGTGAAGGTGAAGTGCTTTTATATGTGCTAGTGTTGTCTCCAAATGTTATGAAGCCTTTTGGGGGTAAGACCCAAGAACAAAACCACGCGGGCTTTGGGCCCAAAACGGATAACATCATACCATGTGGAAGAGTGGGTTGTTACAAAGGAAACAAAATCAGCTTGAAAAATAGTTTCTTGGTTTTTGGGCAATTGGTTGAACACTGTTTTGTTTCAACACTCGGTTAAATTTCCAGAATCCTTAAAACAATCCTTTATCAAAAGAAGTGTACTCGCACATTTACCTGATCGAAATGTTGTTCAATTCGAATCAATCAAGCTTAAATTTGTGATGATCACTCAATCTTTAGCTTTCGAAACCAAGAATCAAATAAATAAATTATTTTATTTTATTTTATTTTTTTTTGATAAGTAAGAATCAATTAAATAAAATTTACAACCCGATGAACTAGTTTTGACTATGAAATTTGCCCACACAATTAAATTTCTCATAGAATTTGACTAGCCAAAATTAGCATTTCACATCTTATAGGGAAAGTAGTTAGAAGAGGCGGGTTAGGTAGCAAACTAATGAGGTTCATACGGCATCTTTCACCAAATGATCTCAATTATCACTTGTCAAAAACACAATAAATTTGGCCCTATATCTCAAAGAAAGTAACTAGCAATCTGCAGTTCACATGGCCTCCCGAGAGGGTCCATTACTGTTTAGAGTTCGCCAGCTAGCATCAATTGGCGAAGGGAAACAAAATTGCCCCGCTCTTTCCTGAATTAATAATTGATCACCAAACCAATATCAGCAATATTTTGCTAGCATCATTCTAGGTCATGTTGAACCCAATGATGGAATAAATGAGTAGATAGTAGTTCAAGGTATGGACAAAGAATTGCAAAACTGTTTGGATAGTGTTGTTGCTTGTATGCCTCTTTGGTGGGTGCAAAGATAAGAGTAAAACTAATTTTGACAAGGAGTTTTAACATTTATATGGTCAGAGAATTTGACAGAGGTCTATTTAAGCTCCCTTCTCAAAATACGTCTGCCCCACTTTTTTAATCCTTCAATTAACTTTTAACTCAATAAAAGATATATATAAATATATATATGAGAATAATAGTGACCAGAAATACTATGGAATGTACTTGGGTGGATCCTCTTCCCTAAAAGTTAGTCTTTGTAGGTCTGAGGGTAATCAGTGGGATCTCATTTTCCATGCCTGGTCAAGGGTTAAGTTTGGTTAATTTAAAGCTTCTCATTTAGTAAAACTTAAAACTCCAAACACAATGTTCTAATGTATTCAGTTCAATGTTTACAAATTACACATAAATGCACATGTGCGCCCACACAAACACACACAGAGAGAGAGAGAGAGAGAGAGAGAGAAACGGACCGCATAGTGTACCCATCCATGCAAAGACTCCCAACAAAGAATAGCCTTCCATGTTGTTCTCTCAGTTAAACTGCATATTGCAGCCAATTGTTGCAAGATTGTAGCGGACTTGTGAACCTACAAAGAGTGTGACAAACAATAATTTCCCAATTTCCCAGCTATATTTCATAAGCTGGTATAATAATTATATGAGGAAAGGAAAAGAAAGAAATATATATATATATATATATATATATATATGGGTGCTAGGATGTACATTTAAAATTTGAAATTGAAATGGTCCCATTGTGATTTACGAATGATTTAAATTGAAATCAATTAGTTTTTTGACTGCAGTTATATAGGTTTATTTGCTTTTTCCTTAATTATCATATGCGGACAAAATGAACTTAGGATCAAAGCACAAAGTGAGTGCTCTTTTAGACACTATTGCTAATCCCATCTGTGTCGGGTGTTAGGAAGGGAAAACTGGAGAGAGACTAACTTGGCAAAAAGTGACTGCTCTTAGACTTGAAGCTGTATCCTTGAGCTTGTTGCCCGAATTTTTACCATTGTACCTAGATATAGTCCCTACCCCCCACCATTGTCGGAAGGCTAAAATATAATGTACATTGTGATAAATTCTAAAATAAATTTAACAAGCGTAGAAGAAAGGTGGAAAAGGAAAAGACAAAAGAAGAAGAAGATGGAAGCAGTGGCATGATGAATTCAAGAATGAATTTATAAATCAACAAAAAAATTTTGGATCGAATATGTTTTGATAGGAAGGAAGAAAAGGAAGGAACGATGAAAAAGAGAAGAAAGAAAAATTGTTCAATGATATTCAATCTTTTGTTTGAAGTATGTGAGAGAGTGATAAGATAAATTGGAGGTGGCATTGAAGATGTTAGAATCTGGAGTTGCTTTATTAATTTTTTATTGATTGTGTCTTTATATGAATCTCAATTTACACTTTTGTTTATGAATATAGGCTAATTAGTGCCTCCAGACTAAGAAAAGTCTATGTTACATTAGTCACTTAGTTTGTGAAGTAGCTGTGCCAGACATGACATGAAATGCATAGGGATGGCAACGGGGGCGGGTTTGGGCGGGTGTACCCTCCCCCGCCCCCGCAATCATTTAAAAACCCCGCCCCTGTCCTTGCCCAAAACTGCAAAAGCGGGGGAACTTTCCACCCCATTCCCGCAACCGTTTAATATTTTTATCTCGACGGGTACCCGCCCCGCCCCGTTTAAGACCATAATTTATTTATTGTTGTAATAGATTTGCTTTTTTTTTTTTTTTTTTTTCCCCTCATCTTCAGTTCTTCATCATTGCAATTTTCCTTCTAATCAAATTCATTTATTACTTTAATATTGTTATATAGGGTACTTAATATATATGTACTGGGAAATATATATACTAATTAAATAAGGGTACTTAAGTAATTTGCCTATCTAAAAGGTGCGGGGCGACCTCCCCCCGCCCCCGCTCCAAACCCACGCGGGTTTTTATTACATCAAACCATCCCCGCCCAAATAAGCTAAACGGTCCCACAAAACCGTAAAAAATGGAGCGGGGCGGGGCGGGTAACTGCGGGGGCCGATCAAATTGCCATCCCTAGAAATGCATATGAATATAGGATGCATATCAAACAAATAACCGACTTGTTGAATAACATGGCAGACATATGGGCTACACATATCTGCAGGCATTAAATGAATTTATTTGATTGTGGCTCAAAATTACAACAGACAACTTGTACCAGCTCTTTAAGCGTGGAGAACAAGTACTTGACATCCAAATTCTAGTCTGCTAGCCTACCTCTGGAACTTGGCCAGGAGATGTAGCATATTAAATCATATGAACCCATTTGGTCAACAATTGCTGCATGATCCTTTATATAAAATGGGTACAGCAATTAATGTAGTGAAGGAATCAAATTGTTGACTTTGTGATGCTTGGGCAGGAAGCTAGTTTGCCGCCTCACTTGCTCGACTTTGTGACTTTATCTTATCACTCTCTCACATACTTCAAACAAAAGATTGAATATCATTGAACAATTTTTCTTTCTTCTCTTTTTCATCATTCTTTCCTTTTCTTCCATCCTATCAAAACATATTCGATCCAAATTTTTTTTGTTGATTTATAAAATTCATTCTAGAATTCATCATGCCACTGCTGCCATCTTCTTCTTCTTTTGTCTTTTCCTTTTCCTCCTTTTTCCTATAATTTTAGTCCATATATATATATATATTCTTGTGTTGTTGTCGGACCGCATAGTGTACCCATCGACGATCGTCTGTGTTGTTGTCGCTAGCTATCGATAAGTTGTGCGGTCGCCATTTGCGACTAATTTTGTGGCCGGCTTCTTAATTTGAAACTGTGGTTCTTTGCTATAGCCGAGAGATTTGCAAAGGAAATATTCATCTAAGTTCTTCATTGATTTAAAAAAATGTCTTACATGTTCCAAAGCTTACCACAAACCTTGTCTTTATTCAACATCTCACAGAAGACCTAAACTGCAATCTAATCTTTTTACCTACTTCATGTGTTTTTCGGGGCCAAGTTTCGGGGAGGACAATTGGGCGTGCTAAGGAAAGTAGTGGCCTCTACTACCTGGATTTGCCGAATAAAACTGTGAACAATAAGGTCAATTCATCACTTTCTTTGCTGTCCGATACCAAGTCATCAATAAAAAACCAAATTTTGCTCTACCATTTACAATATGGGCATCCATCTTTTAGAGTTTTGAGTGTCATGTTTCCCTCTTTGTTAAAGGGTGTTGATATTAGTTAATTTCATTGTGACATTTGTGAGTTTGATAAACAAAAACGCGTTCCATTTCCTGTGAGTAATAAAAGATCTTCATTACCCTTTAATTCGATTCATAGTGATATTTGGGGTCCCTCAAGAATCACAAATATTTCAGGGTAGATGGTTTGTCACTTTTATTGACGATTGTACTCGTGTCACGTGGGTTTTCTTGATTAAACAAAAATTTGATGTGTGTATGCTTTTGCCAATCTTTTACGACATGATAAAAAGGGTTATAAAAAAATAAAAATAAAATAAAAATAAAAAAATGATCTGACAATGCCAAAGAATATTTTAATCAAGTTTTATCTCCTTACTTTCAAAAGGAAGGGATTATAGATGAATCCACTTGTATCGATACACCCTAACAAAATGGAGTGGCAAAAAGGAAAAATGGTCATCTCTTATCAGCAACCCGAGCACTACTATTCCAAACAAAAGTTCCAGAATATTTATGGGGGGAAGCTGTCCTTACATCCACTCACTTGATAAACCGTACTCCATCCCGAATTCTTGACTTTAAAAGTCCCTGGGAAGTGTTATCAAATTTTTTTCCAGATTTTACCTCTCACAACCAATTGGCTCCTCGGGTATTTGGGTGTGTTGCGTTTGTTCGTATTAAGAGTCGTAGCAATCTTGATCCTCGAGCACTCAAGTGTGTCTTCATAGGGTACTCCTCAACGCAAAAAGGATACAAATGTTATCATCCACCGTCACGTAAAACTTTTATTTCCGCTGATGTTACCTTTGTTGAAAATGATAATTTCTTTCACCCTTATCTTCCAGGGTAGACTTCTATTAGGGGGGAAAATCTTTGACTTTGTAATTAGTTGGAAACTAATCCTCATTTAGCTAGTATCCTGATTTAGTTAGGAAAATCCCATATTTTATGGGATTCAAACTTTATTATTTTTCTGATTGTACAGATTATATTCGGCTATATATGGCCAACTCTCCGTGATGTATTAGATAATTCCCAATAATAATAATTTTAGTCCTCGCTTAGAATAACACATACCATGGAATGTTTTCTTCAACGTCTTCCGTTATTTCAACTAATATTATCGCAAATAGGTATGGACTCAACACTAATACTTGGAGTAGTCCCACCTTTATAGGTTAGTCACTAGTTTCTCCGCATGTAGTGCTAACTCTAGTCAATGTCTTCACTATACATGCCATGAATAAGATTTATAAGTTTTATAGTTACTTGTTTTCTTTGTAGAGCCCACCAAATTATGTCCCTTGGCACTCTTTCATATGCCTTCTCTAAATATATGAAAACCACATACAAGTCTTATTGTTTGCTCCTATACTCTCCTATTAGTTGTCTTATCAAGTATATGGCTTCCATAGTGGATCTACCAGGCATAAATCTGAATTGGTTATACGACATTGATATTTCTTTCCTTGGTCTTTAATCTATTATTCTTCCCCATAATTTCATTGTAATTTTGTATATCCCCTTTATGTTTATAAATTGGTACTATTGTGCATTTACTTCACTCATTTGGCTTCATTCCTTTTTTAAAATGTTGTTCAATAAATGTGTTAACCACTCAATTCCTACTTTTCCTAACATTTTCCAAGTTTCTATAGGTGTGTCATCAGGCTTACTGCTTTATTAGTCCCTATCTTTTAAGCGTGTACTCTACTTCCTTATCGGTGATTTTATTTATCATTCCTTTTTTTTTTTTTTTTTTTTTGATAAAGATCTCAGCTGAGTCCGGAGATCTCCTTTCTGATCCCTCACAATATCAGAGCTTTGTAGGAAGATTGATTTATCTCACCAACACCCGTCCTAATTTGGCTTTTACGGTTAGTGTTGTGAGCCAGTTTATGCATGCTCCTCGTACAGCTTATATGGATGCGGTATATCATATTCTTTGATATCTTAAGTCCAATCTTGGACTTGGATTATTCCATTCTTCTAGCAAGCAGGTTGGGCTATCCTGTTTTAGTGATGATAATAAGTCAGCAATTATGCTTGCTTCAGATTCTGTTCTTTATGAGACGACTAAACATAAAGAGGTGGACATTCATTTTGTCAGAGAGAAGGTTCGATCGGGAATTATCAAGCCGTATTTTGTTTGGTTCTCTAATCAGTCGGCCGATGTGTTCACCAAATCTGTTGGTCCATCTTTGCTTCATTCCTCGATTACCAAGCTGTGCTTGATTGACATATTCACTCCAGCTTGAGGGGGGGTGTTGAAATATCTTTATTATTATTATTATTATTATTATTATTATTAGTTGTTTTTAGCCTTTTATTAGGTGCTTTATGTAAGATCCCTATAATCACGTGATCACGTAGATAAGAT